AAGACTTTTGGGGTGAGCGGAACAAAGAAACCCTAACCCTAACCGCCGAACCCATAAAGAGTCCTGCCCTGCCTCTTGAGCGCGTACACCACATCCATCGCCGTCACCGTCTTCCTCCTCGCGTGCTCGGTGTAGGTCACCGCATCCCTGATCACGTTCTCGAGGAAGATCTTCAGGACCCCCCTCGTCTCCTCGCTTCACCCCGCCCCTCCTCGCGAGGCGCCGGATCGCCGGCTTCGTGATGCCCTGGATGTTGTCGCGGAGGACCTTGCGGTGGCGCTTCGCCCCGCCCTTGCCGAGCCCCTTCCCGCCCTTTCCTCGGCCTGACATCGGTGAGCGAGAGAACCGAAAAAGGTGGAGTCTTTTTTTTGGGGTGGGGAAGAGAAGGAGGGGCCTGGGATTTTGGATGAGGCGAATGGGGTGAGGATTTTGGGGGGATTTATGGACAAATTTTCAAAACCGACCCTTTGGGGTTTTTAATTGCAAAAAACGACCCATTTCAAACTTATTTATAAAAACCGACCCCAGGGGCTGAAAACAGGTCGGTTTTTGAAAAATTTTTTCCCAAACTTCACGGGAGTTGAACTCCCGTGAAGTTTTGTTATGAGAAAAACTTCACGGGAGTTCAACTCCCGTGAAGTTTGGGAAAAAAAATTTCAAAAACCGACCTGTTTTCAGCCCCTGGGGTCGGTTTTTGTAAATATTTTCAAAACCGGTCGTTTTTTGCAAATAAAAACCCCAAGGGGTCGGTTTTGAAAATTTGTCCGGGGATTTATATGTGGGATGTATCCGTGGGAGGGGGTTTGGACGTTTTTGAGCCGTTGATTTGGAGAAAGTGCGGACGGTCGGAACGGGTTTGTTCCTGCTTGGCGGGGATCGATGACGTGGCTGTGTTAGTGGAACGAGGCTGGTTGGTATGGAACGTTTCAGAGCCGAAGTGTGAATCCACTTTGGCTTTATAAACTTACGAACGAACGGGATAAACTACGTGTATTATATAAGTTAAACTATTTGGTAAATTTAGTTGATTATAATTTATTTTTATTTGTTGCCTATTATCAAAATGATTAAAAAACAATTAATAATATTGGAGAGGGATAAATGAGACCTTGAAGAAAAAAAAATTGAAATCATGAAGGGTATATTAGTCTTTACATGGACAGACATTGCACCTCATATGCCATCGAAAAATAAGGTAGAATACTATAATTAGTTTTTTTTTTGGCGAAATAGGTTATTTAGGAGACATGTCAAAGTAGCTTATAAGGCACAAAAGTGGTTTATAATCAACTTCGATAACTTGAGAGCCATGGGGTAAGGTTTCCATTTTGTCTCGCCTCAGGAAAATCTTATCATTTTATCTGTGCAAAAGGAAGGCCAAACTTTCATTGCCAGAACCATGTGATATTTTATGTTCTTCTATTTGTTTAGATTTGATCTTCGAGTGTTTGAATGAAGGTAATATCCGATTCTGGGTTTGTTTCCTTTGTATACAAATGTTCAGCTTCGATGGAAAGGAGGGTATCCAGGGGGGCCCATCTATCTGTTAGTTAAACAAAAAATGAAGAGGAGACAAAATTTGAGGCGTAAAGATTACTTTCCTCGAGGAAATATTCACTCCGTTTTGATAATCTTGGTTTACTTCAAGCTAAGCGAACTATCTTCTCACCGTACAACAAATTATGAAAATTCTAGGAAAAAATCTAAAATTTTTTACCAAGCCTTTGTGAAATGAGTTTGTAGGCAGTCACATGTTTTCAAAACAACCCTTGAAAATAATAGTCACTTTCCAACAAACAATAAATAGTCAATCCCAATAGTAAAAGACTTCCAATTAATAGTTTTTTATTTATTTATAAATTTAAGTTAATTTCCAAAAAGTAAATGAATAATATAATAAAAGTACATTATAATTATAGTGACAGCGACAAGCGTGCAAAGTGCATCTAATAATCGCACCACTCACACTGGGTTTAGAAGTTATGCTTGACCTGTTTATCTAGGTCTTATGATAATAGAATTCCTTAACCCTCAAAAGTGAGGATTATCGTTTTTTGTAACAAACAAATACTAGCACTATGATAGTATAATGTGTGACAAAAGAAAATCAATCATTTCACCAACAAGAACATAATGCACATGGAGGCTACTCATTCAACAACTTAAATTTTGTCCTTCAAACAATCCCCATCACCAAAAAAAAATACCCACCCCTACGCATACACACACACACCACTATGCGATTTATTTATACTTGTACATGTTTTTTAAGGAACCTAAAAGATTATCTAATGAGAATTTGATTCCAAATATAATTTGGATCGTCCCGAACATCAAAAAAATAAATACATTTATATCTGCAAGCGTATGGAGCTAACATGTGCGCACTAACGTTCCTGAAGAAAAACAAGCAATCCTCGAAAGTGCTCAAGAGCAAATAGGGAGGTAAGTAATGACATCACGCAGCTGAAGAACAAGATTGAGGTGATCTGATTCAAAAAATACGCCCTTCAAGCAATACAAGATATGATATGCACCATCCACATTAATCTTCACGATATTAAGGGACGTGGGTACCAAATGTAAGACAAACTAATATTACAAAGGGAACCCGAGGAGCAGTCGTGCCAGAGGGCTAGAGTCTAGAATAAACTTCAGCGAGAGTAAGAGTGGCAATAAGGATCGTGCATTCACTCTTCAAATGAAATCGCTTATGGTTTTCCATATGAACCAAGAAATGATTGCGGCAAAATTCATTGCTGGCGGAATTTGGATGGGGGTGTTGAAAGCAGGTCCCAGGCGAAATCATCAAACCAACAAGCGAGCGAGGGGTAGTGTGGGACAGCACACGTGGCTTATAATCCATTGGTGGATATGAAAGCATGTTTTGCCAATCGTAGGTTATAGTACACGTAGCTTTTAATCCATTGTTGGATTAATCCAAGTGGATTAAAATTATAGGTGCTTGGCACAGAGCCATGGTTTATAATTCATGACTTTTTGTTTAAATGACATGAAATTCTTAAAAGTGAAAGGAGATAGAAGGAAAATAAAGTGATTGGAAAAAATGTTGCCCTTTTTTGTAATTTTCTTGGTCAAACATGTGGATTATAATCCACCCAAAAGATAATATAGGAGTCCTAGGTTAGTTTTTGGTGGATTATAATCCAAAACAATCCACTCAAAATGTGGTTACCCAACAAGCAAAAGGTAGATTATAATCCAAATGTTGGATTATGATCCACTTTCACCAAGTTGCCCAACGTTCTCAGAGACTGATAAGCTCGTGCCAATGATACAGTTTCTGCCATTTGTCCATATCTAGGAGGCGAAAGTAGTAGATATTTCTAGTGTACTCTCTTTCTTGGTACTGTATTATTGCATAGAAGTGTTAAAATGTCACCATCTCCCAAGTGTCTATGTAGACTACCTTTGATGAAATTAGTGGTTTATGGTTTAATCAGGCTATGTTACGTTAAAGTTATCTAGGTATTTCTAATATGGAGTTGTACCCATACTCGACGGGTATCGTACCCGAACCTAACACTTTGTGGACACTCCTTAAATATATTTATATATTTATTCAGTCCAATACTCAATTGTACAATGCTTGTATCTTCCTATTCTAAGCAGTTGTAAGAATTGCTTTTCTATTCTGCTCTCATAATTTCTTATTATCTCAGGGTGTGTTTGGCAAGTTTGAAAATAATGTAAACTAGTTTTTGAACTAGCTCCGCTTCTGTTTGGTTCAATAGAGGGTAGGAATAGGATTAGGAATCCTATTTTATTTATGAATTCCAACCTAATCCATAAAAAATTTATAGACAAGTTTTAGTTTTATGGAATCCCATTTTTTTGTATTCTATGTTTGTTTCACCCAAAGGATTAGGAATAGGATTAGGAATCAGAATAAAAAAAGAGGAGAGGTGTCAGAAATCCCACCCAATTCCTAGCAAATGGATTGGATTTGGATTTCCTGAAATATATACTGTTTGAGCCACTTTATAGATTAGCAATTCTATAAATTTTTTTTGAACCAAACTCAGGATTAGGATTCATTTGGAATCCATTAATTACGAAAACACCATTGTCAGGTCCAAATACCATTCCTATTCCATAAAATTGGTGAAACAAACAGGCCCTTAGGTTATGCTAAACAAGACTTTATTGAACTAGATCTAACTTAAACCTAGTTTGGCTAATTTGTAGACTAAACTCTATTTGAACTAGTTCTCTTATATACAAAAGTGAGCTTGTTTAGTTCTAGCCTAGTTATTGAGCAAAAGTGGACCTCAAAAAAACTTTTTCCCCCCCATCTTTAGGGCATGTTTGGCAAACGCATAGAACTGGGCCAGGTCTAGTCTTGGTCCGTTTATTTTTTTTTTTGCAGAGTTCACATGAAGGAAATTAATGTCCCCCCGTCAAGTGTTCTGTTCTCCATGCGCTTGTTCAGAAATTTGTTGTTGATCACCGCATTCGAAACATAATTTTCTCACTTGCCATTTTATTCTCAGCGCAGTTTGACCGCTCGGTGGAAAGTTTCTGTAAACCTCACTCTGTAGACGCGTAAAATCTTTGGATTTGTGCTGATGATGTAATCTACACGCTCACTGTACTCATATCGGTCAGGTTTCTTCTTGTTTTTAAGTTGGTGTATGTATAATGCGTGCAATTTTACCGTAGTTATTTACACTTTTACAGAGATTTAACTTTCATTTGCAAGAAGCTAAACTTTCAATTAAAAAGACGATATCGCCCCAATTTGACCGGCGCTGATAACGTATTCTCTTAAAAGCACTCGCATATAACCACTCTTAAAATTAGTAGTCACTTAGTCGAAATTTGTAATTGCCAATTAAGGTGAACAACTTTATAGACATAGTTACATAATTTAACACCACACTTAGCAAAATATAAGGATTACACGCACAATTACAACTAAAAAGAACAGTTATCAAAATTTAAGAAAAATTAACGTATCATGTTCGGAGCGACAAACGTCTAAAATCACCAAATTCCATTCAAATTCTTCCCAATTAAAACACATATTAACATTCTAAATCACAAACAAGAAAACAGCACCAGCACGAACAACAAGGCTAAAAAAAACCTAAAAAATCCCATCTTTTTTTTTCTTGACAGCAAGACTTTTGGGATGAGCGGAACAAAGAAACCCTAACCCTAACCGCCGAACCCATAAAGAGTCCTGCCCTGCCTCTTGAGCGCGTACACCACATCCATCGCCGTCACCGTCTTCCTCCTCGCGTGCTCGGTGTAGGTCACCGCATCCCTGATCACGTTCTCGAGGAATATTTTCAGGACCCCCCTCGTCTCCTCGTAGATCAGTCCGCTGATCCTCTTCACCCCGCCCCTCCTCGCGAGGCGGCGGATCGCCGGCTTAGTGATGCCCTGGATGTTGTCGCGGAGGACCTTGCGGTGGCGCTTCGCCCCGCCCTTGCCGAGCCCCTTCAGGTCACCGCATCCCTGATCACGTTCTCGAGGAATATTTTCAGGACCCCCCTCGTCTCCTCGTAGATCAGCCCGCTGATCCTCTTCACCCCGCCCCTCCTCGCGAGGCGGCGGATCGCCGGCTTCGTGATGCCCTGGATGTTGTCGCGGAGGACCTTGCGGTGGCGCTTCGCCCCGCCCTTGCCGAGCCCCTTCCCGCCCTTTCCTCGGCCTGACATCGGTGAGCGAGAGAACAGAAAAAGGTAGAGTCTTTTTTTGGGGTGAGGAGAAAGAGGGGTCTGGGATTTTGGATGAGACGAGGGGGGTTATTTTTTGGGGATTTATAGGTGGGTGCGAGAGGGGAGACGGATCCGTGGGAGGGGATTTGGACGTTTTTGAGCCGTTGATTTGGAGAAAGTGCGGACGGTCTGATCGGGTTTGTTCCTGCTTGGCGGGGATCGATGACGTGGCTGTGTTACTGGAACGAGGCTGGCGGGTAGAGAACGTTTGGGAGTGCTTGGCGGGGATCGATGACGTGGCTGTGTTACTGGAACGAGGCTGGCGGGTAGAGAACGTTTGGGAGCCGAAGTGTGATAGCGGTTGCAATCCACTTTGGCTTATAAACGCACAAGCTCATAGACTAGGTGGATTATAAGCTAAATGTTTGGTAAATTTAGCTGATTATATTTTATTTTTATTTGCTGCATATTATCAAACTGATTAAAAAACACTTAATAATATTGGATAGGGATAAATGTCTAAATGAGACTTAGAAGATTTTTTTTTTTTTGAAATAATGAAGTGTATATTGGTCTTTACATGGACAGACATTGCAGCTCATATATGACATCGAAAAATAAGATAGGATACTCTAGTTGGGTTTTTTTGTGGCAAAATAGGTTATTTAAGAGACATGTCAAAGTAGCTTATAAGGCACAAAAGTGGTTTATAATCAACTTCGATAACTTGTCGGACATGGGGTAAGGTTTCCATTTTGTGTCACCTTAGAAAAATCTTATCATATTATCTGTGCAAAAGGAAGGTCAAACTTTCATTGCAAGAACCAAGTGATATTCAATGTTCTTCTATTTGTTTAGATTTGCTCTTCGTTTGATTGAGTGTTTGAATGAAGGTAATATCCGATTCTGGGTTCGTTTCATTTGTATACAAATGTTCACCTTCGAGGGAAAGGAGGGTATCAAGGGGCTGATCTATATGTTAAGAATAAAAAATGAAGAGGAGGCAAAATTTGAGGCGTAAAGATTACTTTCCTCGAGGAAATATTCACTCCGTTTTGGTAATCTTGGTTTACTTCATGCTAAGTGAACTATCTTCTCACCGTACAACAGATTATGAAAATTCTAGAAAACAAATCTAAAATTCTTTACCAAGTCTATGTGAAATTAGTTTGTAGACAGTCACATATATTTAAAGCCGCCCTTGAAAATAATAGTCACTTTCCAACAAACATAAAATAGTCATTTCCAATAGTCAAAGACTTCCAACTAATAGATTTTTTATTTATTTTTAATTTTAAAATAATTTCCAAATAAATAAATAAAATAAAATTATAATTACAGTGGCAGTGAGATTTACGTTGTTCGATCGACCAACTTCGACCTACGTCCACGGGCAACAATACGAGAAATCCACTATGTATCAGGGAGAACTACAAAGTGAATCATTCAACTCTCGTCTCTCAATCTCTCAACCTCACATACATAATCAACTCTCGTATTATCTCCAAAACTCACTCCTTACAATCTTTTGAACGAACAAAGACTGCGAAACTCTCTACTAATGATGTAATCTTTTACACGGACAAAGACTACGAAACTCTCGCCTCTCGCACAATATTCTTGAATCAGGTCACGCCCTCTGATAACCCTAGATTACAATAATACTGGCTCTCTCTCCTCTTCTTTTTCTTGGTTTTTCCTCCAACAATAGAAATATATATATAGGAAAATCAAAACCATTTCTCTAGCCTAACTTCCTAATTAGAATAGACTTCAAACTCTAAATCACGATGAGACGCAATCTCCTAATTATGATAGGTCTCTAACCCTATCTAATTATCATGAAGTCATACAAAGAGTCAAAGACACAATCCTAATAATCACCATCTTAGATTTGATTTCCAAACTCCATTGAAGATATATCATCGTTGTTTTGAAACTTTGTCTCTCCTGCTAGCGTATTCTATTCTTTTACACTTCAAATCGAAGCACATGCACTCCAACTGGGACGTCCTGTGACTCTCGCGATCATCTGCTTCGTCGTGGCGCCTCCACCTCTCTTGTGCGCACCAAGAGATCTTCGTCATCCCTGACATTAGAAGCAAATCAACCATGCTTCTCCTCCCAAACTGAGTTTGACAGTAGCCTTCCCCCACTTGTTGTCCTCGTACTCCATCTGCATCGCTCGTCTCGAATCATATCGGTGCACCTCTTCTACTCCACACTACGAGCTAGATGCCTCCATCTCCTCCATCACTTGGCTTGGACCGAGTATCAGCGCTCATCGTCTTCAAGTCCAATGTCACCATCTCCATTAGCTTTGTATCCCTTGACACCACGCTTGAATCCTACAAATATGATATTCCTATCTCGAGGTTCCAACTTATCAGTATTAATATGATAGTATGCAAGGCACCCAAATACATTGAGCTGGTTATAGTCGTGTGCTGGTTCTTCTGACCACATCTCCATAGGGGTCTTCCCCTCAATCGCAAATGAAGGCAACCTGTTAATGAGATGGCTCACATATGAAAGTGCCTCAGCTCAAAAGATCTTCTCCAAACCACTATGCGCCAATAAATATTAGATCTTCTCCAGTAAAGACCGATTTAACCTCTCTGTCACCCCCATTCTGCTACGGTGTATGACTAACTATGAAGTGTATCTCTACGTCCTCGTCCCGACATAGCTGTTGATAGGGGTCTGATGTGTACTTAACACCATTATCGGATCGCAACATCTTGATCTTTCTCCCAGTCTGCAATTCTAACATCTTCTTCTACTCCACAAATATATCTAGGACTTCACTCTTCTTCGCCATGGTGTACACCCAATAAGGTCTAGAATAGTCATCAACGAACGTGACGAACCAATGTTGACCACCAAGTGATGCAGTCTTGGTGGGACCTCAAACATCTGTGTGTACGTAATCCAGGATGCCCCACATCCTATGAATGGCTGTCCCGAACTTCACCTTCGTCTTCTTGCCAAGTACACAGTGCTCACAGAACTCAACCTCTCCACTTTTGACTTCCTTCAATAGTCCATGCTTGTACAACACCTGCAGCAACTTCTCTCTTGTGTGTCCTAACATGTAGTGTCAAAGTCTGCTCATATCCGCCTCTAAAATAACTGAAGCAACCTGGTCAATCTCGGTGCTCCCCTTCAGATAATATAAGTTCTGACTGCGGACTCCCTTCATCACCACCAAAGATCTCTTAGTAACATTTGCTACCGCATCCTCAAATGTCACCGTGAATCCCTTCGTCTCCAAAGCTCCAACTGAGATAAGATTCTTCATTAGCTGAGAACAAGTCTCACCTCCTTCAATTCATAGAATTCTCCATCATGCATCCGAATCCTCACGGTACATATCCCACAAATGCTACATGATTGATTATTTCCCATGACAACAACACCCGTAATCGAGTCTTTCAAATGATGCAAACTAATCTCACCCAGGAGTAACATGATAAGTAGTGCCATAATCAAGCATCCAATCTGATGTATCCAAGTGGTTCACTTCCGGAGTAATCAGTAGAGAAAAGCTCGAATTATCAGAATTATACCTCTCGCAACGTTCACCTCATTGGCATTCGGGCCTTTTTTCTTACTATTCTCCTTCTCCTTGAGTTTCGGACAGCGTCTTTTCTAATGTTCATGCTCCTTGCAGAATGCATATTGGTTATTCGCTAACTGGTGATGGCCTCTCGAATTTGACATTCCTCTATTGTCACCTCTTGGATATGGGCTTCTACCTCTCATCGCCAAGGCCTCTCCTGAAGTACTAGTACCGAAAGTTTCCTTGTCCTTCCTCCTCAAATCATAGTTCGTCAAAGCGTTAGTTACTTCACCATAACTGATAGAAGATCTCTCATTCAACAAAATAAGCACAAAGGTATCATACTCCTCATCCGGTATGGAGCCCTAAAGAATAATAGTCTTGTACTCATCTGATATCTTCTCATCAACATTCGTCAAGTCTGACAACAACTTAATATAGTTGTTCACATGGACTGCTAGTGAGGTGCCCCTGGACATCTGAAATCTGAATAACATACGCAACAAGTGCAATCTGTTCTCAACACTCTTCGTAAGATACTTGCTGTTGAGAATTTCTCACATCTTCATTGCAGACGTCACCCTAATCACATCATATTTCTGCTCATATTCCAAACAAGACATGATCATATCACAAGCATTCCTATTCATCTTTTCTTATACCGACTCTTCATATTTAGGTGACCTCTCTTGGACAATAATGGTCTCCTCTGAATTTTGAGCATTGAGCGTATCATGAACATCGCTCATCCACAACTCAAAATTGATATTGCCGTCAATTTAACCACACTAATTTTAGTGTTCTAAAAACTAACTTAACTATACCCGCCATCTTGCTGCTTTTACCAACTTATTCACCCATACTCACAAACTCCAAATTATAGAAAAAAATTCAAACTTGATAGAATTTAGAAGTTACCCAACTGAATCCTAGAACGGATTCCAAATAGATCTCCTAACCACACGAGAAAAGCGAAATCTTCAACGGCAACCCCAAACACTATCTCCACTAAAGCCTAGAACTCCAAGAACCAAGCTTCCACGATGAATCTTCATCCACCTAATGCCAGAACCCTAGATCTAAAATCTGAGCTCTGATACCAATTGATGCGCGCCTATGCGGAAGCGTGCTCGCACACCGAACGAGTCCATGAGTCACGGGAGAAGCTAACCAAACCAAACACGAGTACAATCCAATCCAAAATATAACAAATCAAACCAAACACAGAGATATACGTGGTTTGACAATTTGCCTACGTCCACGGGAAGAGGATGAGGAAATTCCACTAAATCAAGGAGAGTACAAAGGGTTACAATCTCACAAGATCACTCAAATAAACCCTAAACCAAATCTCTCAACTTGCTCACAAATTCTCCCTCTCAATATGCTCAGTATAATCTCAAATCTCTGATTGGAAACCCTAGAAAAAACGTGTTTTGATTATATATCAAAACACAATCCCAAAACGAACAGGAAACCAAAACTCAGGCCCAACCCGACTCGCGGTCGACCAC